AAACTTGCAGGGTAACATACTGTTACTGTGTTCTACTCTGTATTTTTTCTTACATAAGCTAATGGAAACTTTTGGAAGTGCACGTAAACTTTTTCAATTACATGCACTCGTGGTGCACATGGAATATTTTTTCTAATTCGAAGCCTGGTACAAAATTTAAAAAGATTGTGCAGAACCACTAACGATGACATCTGTGGCACTATCTGGGACATTTTGGTGCAAAAAATGAAGTGCACTTTTTGTAGCTGTGACTAGAAAGGTGTAAAAGGCCTGTAGGATATAGAGTCCAAAATTGCTCTTGTGCTCATCATTAGATAGCATGAGATGTGTAAGTTCAGGTGAAAATTAAAATGAATAAATAGCCATATATTGATAATTTCAATTAAAAAAACTGATGTATCGATATCGGAAAAGACACTATTGACGGTGCCTAGTTTACCATTGATAATTACGAGGTTCGTCCAAGCTATGCCCGTGGCTACCCTACCTATAAGCAATAGGCCTAGTCATCAGTCAGGGGAACCCACTAAGATCTGGCAAGGCCTTGTGGTTTTTTCGGCCCCACAGAGCTCACAGGGAAGCTCTGTGGATTGCCACTTGAGCAGGGATACCCACTAGGATCTGGCAAGGCCCCGTCTCTTTGGTCAATTGCTGGCTTGCCCAGCCAGCCGGGACTCCCGAGAGTCTCCCGGGCTCGTCTTACCGTCAATGTGAAGTACACTACACCCTCCGACTGCCATGGCCCAGCAGAATCCATGTGGTGTTGGGACCAGTATTCCCCTACCTACTTTAAACACCATCAGCTGCTGCTCATCTTCGGCTAGGAATATCAGTTCTCCAGCGACTTCCGAGCGTACTTCCACTTGCTCAGATATTGAAGACCCCGGCTTGGGCTCCCCACAGACAACTGGGCCTGCCCCACCTGGTGCGTCATCAGGCCACAACACTGCGACACCCACTAAACCTTCACCGGGTACCGCAGAGCCTACAGGGCGTTTGCTCCGCTGAGGCTTTAAACCACCCCAACCTATCCGTGGCTTTGGGTTTCCAACTAGGCATCTCCGAGCCATCTGACCTTACTTCATTGGGTCCCTGTGCCTGGAATTCCACAGTAGCCTCCGACCTTGAACGGGAGTGTTCTCCTGGCATGCTGCCTTCTGCGACCCATTCTTGAGCCTTCAGATACTCTTGCTACAGGGCTCCCAGGGAGGAAGTTGACATAATACAGCGTGGGCATCCAGACAGAATCCAGAGAAGTTGCTTTTTCTGGGCCAAGTTCATGGATCACTTTCCCATTGAATACACCATTGGTATGCAGACCTGCTATCGAGTCTCCGTCATAGCCTTCTGAGGCAGCTCTCGCTGCCATTGGTAAGCCTGCGCAGGCCATGGAGAAGCGTGTCCACGCTCTGCCTGGTGGTCCCTAATGACTGCTACAGGCCGAAACCTACCAGCATTCAAGACTGGTGTAGCTCAGGCCACAGCCCATTAAAGATAGTAAGTTATTGTGTTCTCAGCATTGTTATGCTAATAAGAAATATGTAAGCCTCTCTGCTCACCACAGTGGGCTTTAAAGATAAGTTATCGGAGTGACTCGGGTACCTGAAAAGATTACTTCATTCACTGACATTCATTCAACAACAAAAGCCACTGACCTGACATTCAACAAAACTAAACTTTCAGGTTTTTTGGGAACAGGGTAGGTTGAGCAGCGGTGTTTGGCAATGTGGCCCATCTTTCTTGTCAGCGTTGTCCCCCTTCTAAAAATACAAAGAATGTTTAGCTTTTGTTTCTTACATAGCCTGGCATTGGGAAAAGTTTTGTGTTTTACGTTGCTTCCCATTTTCTTTCGCTGCTGGGGAATCTTAGGCTTTATTCTGGCTCGCAGTCCCTATTCTTTGCAATATACATGTACAGTACATATTGTGGCGGCAACTAGACATGTCAGTTGTATACATGTAGCGAGCAATATGTGATTTCTCCACTCAATGCACCCTGACATCGACAAGGACTTTCGTGTGATATCAACCATTTTCCACCACACTCTTCTGCAATTTTTTGCACTTCCAAAGAATTTTTGTTTCACTGAATATAAACTTGTTTTAAAAAAATGAAATAAATGCATTGAAATCAAAATTACGAACTGCATTTCCATGGATCATGAGTCAGTTTGCTTTTCTACTGGGCACTTCGACCCAATACCCATACCCATGGAAGGTTATTCTGTGCATTTGACAACAGCCTTATTGCTTGGAACACACACGAGACCATTTTGAAAGTGTCCAAAATACACTGAAAATGAGGTCTGTCTGAAGAGTAACGTCCCCAACTGGGATTTGGGGCAAAAATCATTTCTTTGGTAGCTCTAATAATTAAGGTGCGACCTGTTCCAGGAGAGTTAATACACTGCAACGTATTTACACTTTGCCTTTTGGTTTCCTTGGCTCTACAAATTCACTTATTTGACTGTTCGAAATTAAGTTTAAGAATTCAAAGTAGAATATCATTTAATTTAAAAAAACACACACCTGTATCACTTTCACATTGAGTCCAGGCAGTCACTTTGTTTCTTTTCTACTTCTACCAGGCTTACTTAATACAACTGGAAATAACCACTACAACATTGTGGACCCCGTATGCATGTTTTCCACCTCCCACCAAAATTGGCCTGTCATCTGTGAAGTAATCCCTCTCATATCAAACTGCGAGTTCTCTGTATGCCCATCTTGCTGGCTGAAGACACAGACTCCACGCAGATATCGCATGTTCCAGTGATTTCCCACACTCGGGTGGGACTCGAAGCCACGACCTCTTGCTTACTAGTGCAGACATCTTAATAACCACTCCTTTGCGGGTGTTGGCTGGGTGGTTTGAGTCAGATGTAGCAGCGAGTACCGCGAACAACTATTTCAAAGATGGATTTGCGCCAGGGAGATGAAATGAATTTCACGCTATTGTTATTTAAATTCCACACTGAACGCAGTGAAAGCAGTCTAACCACAGCACTCTTGGTTAGTTGCAGAGACACTTTTGACAACCACGGCTGCCGCATCCTTTTGATGGACAAAACCTGGTTTTTTTGGCCTGTGCACGGCTGAAACCTTGTTCCAGTGACATGCGATCAAGGAATTACATGTATATGTCATGTACTTTTGTACTTCGCAGGGAGATTCTCGGTTTGTAATTAATTAACCAATGTCACAACCTTTGAAAATCATTAGCGTGGGCCAGCCATGCTGTACCCAATGTTCTCATTGTAAATTTACTCTTTCGTCATATTGGCTGGAGCCGTCATCTTAAAAAAAAACCACTTTGTATATATTTCAAAGAAAATCACCTCCCAATCTGGGAACTGATTGGAGGAGTACACAGAAGAGCTGTTAATCACTCTTTATAAAAAGGAACTTTTCGTTTGCAGACAAGATATGTTATTGTCCTTTTCCTTATAAAAGTGGGCCCAAGGCATGAATTTTTTTATGTACCCTTCCCGTAAACATTTCAAAACGTAAGCAAGTATTTGGAGGGTTTTATGGTTCTTTTTATGTTAAGAAAATAATAAATATTGGTCATCATTTTTGTACGTTAACTTTTAAAAAAAAAAAATAAACATTTGTGTATGGGTCAGAAATATTCATCATGTCAAGACTTTGGCCTATAAACAGGACTTTTTAATTCTGTCTTCATAAATTTCACTTTGCTATTTCTTTCTCTTGCAGGCCTTGTAATCCTCCCAATTGGGGAAATGCTGCAGAAATGTTATCTACATGTATATCCATATCTATTAATTGAATTTAAACATATGGCGCCGGGGAACCTTGAGTTTGTACGCATAGCTAGGGTGCCCGAAATCGGACAAAAGAGCTGGGCCTTGTGACAAAAGGCCATACTCGGAATGAAGATACTAGCTGCTGGGAATTGCGAACATTTTTTCAGTTGTCAAAAGCAGAGGAAATCCGTCTTGTTTTGAAAGATATACCATTTGTGGCATTCAGTGGGAGTAGATTACCAAGGGGAGAAAAGCGCTTCCGTGATGAGCCATACAATAGTTGCATTTTGGTCCATTTTATGAAGAACGTGCCATGTGTAGTTACTGTTTGGGTAGGTAGAGCACCGTAGACTCCTTCCTCACATTCAGTGTGGGTCAGGTCTACTAGAGAATACCTACAGATAGTCCTCACCCACCCATTCTCCCCACTTTGAGTCCGATATTCCCGGTCACTTCGAAAGATGGATGACATGGCAGTGGGGCCGAGTTGCATTGTGGGAGGTCAGGGTCCACCTCGGATGATCAAGTCTTTTCAGGGAATAATAGGCGCATGGGAAATTTGCATATGTAGTGACTGGTTGGGTAGGTATTCCCACTGAATGTGGGGAAGGAATTTTTTGTTGAAATATTTTTAGTGTTTCATTTAGGTTGAAAACATGGTGTTTTATTTTGCATTTATGTTGGTTGTATTCCCAAATTTTGAGTGGAGATCACATTGTGAACATCAGGAGAGGGAACATCTCACAGATTGAGAATGACATTGATAGTATAAGGATGAGGCTTAGTGTTTAGTCATGAGTGCAAACAGTACTTTATCCTGTCACCCCTCTTTCTGTTATTCAGAATCAGCAGCACCAGAGAGATTTCAGGCTGAGTTAAAAGATGGAAATGATGTCAAGCTTGTGTGGGATGCACCATCAAGCTCAGACGGCCCAATAAGGGTATACAGAGTGAGTTGAAGTATCCATCTGTTTTAAAGAGAATAGTGTATGTCTTTTCACAGTACTTTGTTAGACAAAAGGTATGCGTTTTAGCATTGTATCAGAAACTAAATTATGAAACTTCATTAAAGCTAACAGCAGAGCAAATCATGAAATTCATTGGTATATATTTGATCAAAAGCAAATAAGGTTAGACAATCTGCTCCCAGCGGAACAAAAGAGAGCGTTTTAGTACTCACCACATAGGTGTGCCTAGTATAGTATGTTTGACACGGAGCACGCTGAGTACGCACAACTAATTTATTCTGGCAAGTACGGTCTTTATGTACACGCAGAATGCGTGCAAGAACCCACTTGTCTTTCTTTAACTGATTGGGGATGCACTTCAGCTCAGGGCTGAACTCCCAAAAGTGAAATCCTGTTTTATTCAGGTTTGTGCTTTTTGAGTGTGATCTCATATGACATTGCTATATGTGACTCGCTCTGTGAAAAATGAGTCACTTCTCCAGAGCCACTTTTGTAGTGTATGCTTTTGTGCCACAATATCCAGATGAGTGGGCTCTTTGGGTAGATCCTTGCAAACCATGTTTTTTCCACTAAGTACATCACAAAATGTTAAAAAATCATGGTTTTCATTGATTGAGTCAAAAGCCTTTTAAAGAATATTGCACAGGAATCGTCAAGATTTTAACATCTACACAACATCCATTTTCATTGTACCAAACTGAGTGACACATCAAAAGAAAGAGCTCAAATTCCTCAATCTAATACAAAGTACAACTCAAAATTAGTTCCAGAGGCTTGTGACTCATTTTTACAGAGCGGGGTCACATGTGTCTGATCAAGTTGGCAGAACAGCACAAAGAGAAAAGCTCACCACAGCAACATCGTTGCCAGTGACACAATATATTTATACATGGCAATCAAAGTGTCTCAATCTGCACCGTGCATGATTCTTAATCCGTGCCGACCTTCATAAAAATCTATCGAGCATCAAGCCAATTACCACACAATCAAAAACTGCAACTTATTCGTGGTGCTAATCCAGACTGAGAAACATTTTCTGATATGTGCGTTTCACAATATTGCACCTCCAAGAGTTTGCAATGCGTTGACCAATCACAGTGCACGAAATCTGTCGACCCAGTGTGCGTTTGGAAAGGATCAACAGATTTCCTGCACTGTGATTGGTTGACGCATTATAAACTCTTGGAGGTGCACTATTGTAAATTGCCCATATTCCCTGGTAAAAGATCAGCTCCATGCATTAAGCCAATTGGCCATGGTACAATGAACCCCTTATGGCTTTCTGGTGATTGTTTGGCATTTCTTTATTAGAAAAATGTACGTGTACATGGTACATTTGTTATTCACGTTAGAATTAAAACTTGACCTGGTCAATTTTGGTTGTGTTTGGTTTGGCGTAGAGGAAGAAAATGATCTCAAATTACAAGAATAGAGTCATTTTCCTAGTTCAGGAATCTGATTGTATCTTGAAGAGGCCTCAGATTCCAGTGAAGCTGTTGTCAGTAGCCACCCTTGTGTCTGTGAGATAATACAAAATTATTTTAAAAACTAAAACTTTTAATGAGAATGATAGGATTGACTAAAGTGACGACAGCACTATTCCTTGTTCAGTTCCACCAGTTCTGGGTTGCTTCTAAAGCTTTTTGTGCATAAAAAGGATCAAGTGAAAAATAAATTGTCAACCAGAATCACTGTAATAAGTTCAGTTTCTAATGAAGAATTTCTTAGTTTAGTAAAAACTGATTCATGTACCAGAATTCCAGATAATTAAAGAAGAAAATGTGTGTAAATTTTGCCCTGCACTGTTGATAAACCCACGTGTGGTTGAGTTTGCTATGTATGTACATAGGTAATTCCAATTAGGGGTCCAAAAGTTTGACTTTTTTGTGTCCCTGTTACATCTGACCTTTGTTATTTGACATGGAAATATTAGCGGAATTGCATTGACACGCCAGCCAGCTCAGAGACTTTTTTCGGCCGATTAATATTGTGCCATGAACATTGTATTCATATGGTAGATAATTGAATATTTATCCAGAGATGGCAGACAAACTTCATTTTAAATAACACTTGATTTGACTCTGGACAGTGTAGACCTGTTTTCCGTTTGTCTCTTCTCCAATGACATCAACGATGTACAGCCACATAGTACTTCAGGCCTATGTAAGAACTTTGACAGAGTGGCAGCATGACTGTATTGGCCATTTGTTTTTTCCTATGACAATCAGGCTTATTTGGCTGCCAAGTACGCCATTGTCCACGAGAAAAAACACTTTATGTTTGGCATCTGTCACTGTTTTAAAAGCTTTGTGCATTGTGGCACAGTCGTCCCGTCGTGGGCCCTGAAACCGAAAACCGCCTGTAATTATTCCAAAAATGCCAAGTTTCTGTTACATTATTGTACGTTTTGATGGGAGCACCAAGAGATTTCCTTTTTAGTAGGATGAGGGTAAAGATACTAATGTCGGCTTACGCCACCGTTTAATGTTATAGTTTACTGTAAATCCATAACTTTCTACACTTATTCAGCATTAAACCGTAATTTTCAAAGGAAGTGTTTGGATATGATTCAAGTGTGGATATTACACACTAGTAGTTCATAACATTTTTGATCAGCAAATCACACAGTCATGACGCAACGCTCCAAACTCCTCTTTTGAGCTCGGGCCGGGAAGGAGATAATTGTGGGGCAAGCACTCAGAATTCATCATCCAGCCACGGAAATGCTGCACGCTGCATCTTCTCTGTCAATTATTAGTGAATTCTCACCACCTTCATTTTACAACAATCATGTGATGAGGGCCATCGTATGTCCAAACATGCACTTGTGGCGAGGTGTGCGGTGTCAAATTCGTCAAACTCATTATCCATTTTTCGTGGTGTGTTGGCTTTTCTCCTCAAGTTTGGTTTGGTTTGAAAGTGCCATGTTCGATTTTCGGTTCGCTTCCACGGTTTGTTTGCAGCACAAAAGTTTTACTGAGGAGCACGACAAGACTACATAACCAAGCCCTTTAAAACCAGTTTTCAGGCTCCATTTTGCCTTTAACATGTTCAAACTATACTCGGCAAACAGTCGTTTATAGCAGATTTGGGCCAATGTCAAGGAAAAAGTGTGGGAACTTAATGCAGGCTTGCGGCTCTCAGGATACCAGTCTTAGTTCAGGCGTCAGTGATTATTTATGTAGAGCACCCTTCCACGGTTTTGGACTTTTGGCTAAACAGAACGCTTACCATAAAGAGGACACGTTCTGCCTTTTATTACTGGGGTCTTGGGGAAAGACTAAACGATCGAGGAAACCATTAAATCTTTACAAAAGGCAACCAACAAGATATCGTTTTGGGTCTTCCTGTAGGTGTAGATTGGCCAGTTGCGATGTCTGGAATGCCCCAACAGTTTTGTGGACCAATCACGGTGCTGATTTTGGAGCCACATCATGTAGCAACAGTACCACCATGTCAACAATTGTTAGATTGGGTGTCTCGTTGAATGGCTTTCAATTTTTTCCTGATTTCTTTCAAAAAGATTTAACAATGGTTGATTTATATCCAATAATGGCAAAATAATGTGGACCAATAACGTTAAGGGTGACTATTATAAAGGGTAAAAAATCAAGAGACGAACCTACAGAGGAAATAAAGTGCAAGTAAGAACTTTTTGAATGATGATTTTTTGAAGAATTTTGAAAATGGAAAATTTTGAAAATGACCCAGCATCTTGTCTTGCTCAAGAAAAATCCACCTAGCAGCAAGTGGTTAAAGGACGGACATTCTGCGTCCCTCCATCTGTATTCATGAGGTTGGTCATGTTTCATCGCATCCATTGTTGCGACGACAAAGGCTCACGGCCAGCCCTGCTCATTAAACTTAGCCATGCAAGAGCACACACCGCTGTCCAATCCGCGGATTCTCGCCCTCCTTGACAATGACTGACTGATCACTGAGAACGCCAACAAACCGCCGAAGAACGTTTAGTCGATTTTTCGATGGCGCCTAATTTGAATACAGCTTGTCACTTGCATTCTCTGAGATGGTTGTGTTCATGGCCCAACTTTTAAAAATACAAATAGCACTTTTGTTCAAATCATACCTGAGCAAATACATTCGTCTTGTCTCATTTTTTTGTCAAGTCTGAGGTCTCCTGAAGGGATCACTTAGCAGCATATATGTGCACAAAAATTGTTCAACTTAAAAACTGCATACTGTTAAAAGTATTAAATTTGGCGTCAATGTTACATCTGCACTTTATGTGACAGCCGTCAATATATGGTGCACTGACTGATTGTGTGTACACAATATTTGATTGTTTTGTGTTTAAAATACTAATTTTTTACTGTCTGAAAACTGTGATACATGTAGATGAACTTTTTGAACACTTTTAAATTTCACTATTACATGTACGTCACACTTTGTTCCCCAACCCGATGGAGTGACCCATGTACATGTTCATACTGTGCTCAGTGCTGCCTGCTCCAAATATGCATAGGCACATGCTCACATGCATTTTTTCCCACCAAAGGGATATCCTTGCTACTGTAAACTATGTAATATGCCATCTCGTATTCATGCATGGTAGATATATATTCCCCTTTGTCTTGGGCTTGATTTAAACATGACAAGGGATGAATGATGTAACCAATACAACTTACGTGTAATCATGACCCCCTGTTGTATTTTAGCAATGTCAAGATGATTCATAAAATATCTTATTGTACCAACTGGAAGTCAAGGTTTGATTTATATATATGTATGGTTACATTACCTCTGTTTAAGTGTACCTTAAGTAAAACTTGGCAGAGGTCGCCACACAATTCATTTTGTGCTTTATTCTACAGATTGTTTATGCCACAAGTCCTCAGGCGAAGGAGGAGCATCCAGAATACACTCATGAAGGTCTTCCTATTGATGTACCAAACAGAGAGAGAATTTTCGTGATTTCTGGTTTGAAACCAAACATGGAGTACCAGTTCAACATCACAGCTGTTACCAAGAGTAGTAGTAGTCCTCCAGCCACTGTATTAGTACACACAAGGCGGGCAGGTATGTTTTTCTGTCCTCTGGACAATGTCTTCATTTGCTTTCAGTGTCTTATTGAAAGGTGAACGCATACTTGGATAAAACATTCAGATAGGTAGCTCATGGCAAATGTTATTACAATATTACTATACGTAATAAAGCCAATTTGTTGTTACTCAATGTGGTAGATGAACTCTCTCTTTGTGAGTGTGTGTGGCATTGAAAAGAGCTGGTTTTACTCAGTGTTTCAGACAGTGTGTGTGCTCTTTCCCATTGTCAGATAACAGAAAGAGTGCACTGTCCGAAATATTGAATGAAGCCGGTTCCTCTAGAGCCTCACTCACAGATAGTTCATATGCTACATGATGTTTCTGCAAATGACTCGCTTTGTTTATATACACCATGGAAACCTTCAAATCAGATTAAGGCCAACTTGCCTGAGACAGTTTGAAAACTGGCTGCCACATCTGAAGTTGATGCACAGCCTGTTCAGATTGTGTAACAAAGTTGCAGGAAACCATATAGTACTAAGGCGTGAGGTCAAAATACAAATGCTTTTGAAAGCGTTCAACGCTTTGTAAACGCTAAGCCCCACCGATGGTCAACATCGAATGGACAAATGCTTCAGCGAGGCTGGCCAAACGGTTGCGGCGAGTACACCTTGCACTCTGTTGTTTCCAGTAAACAATGGACAGCTTATCACATTACCGCATCATAGACTTCTGCGGTCTGGTGGATGAGTCATAACAATAGCTCTTTACTTCGCAGCTCCGCAGGAGGATTTAGATCAGCAGACTGTTTTAACTTCCTGATGAAACATGTGTATTGAGTAGTTGTGTTGTGCTGTCGGTTTCCAGACCAGTCTTTTTAGGTCTTGATACCCTGTAATCTTGATATTTTGTCTTGGTATCATGAGTCAAATACACACCTATACCAGCAGAATAGATTATACTAACTTGAAATAGCATTTACCTGATGACATAGTGTTCTGTTCGCCAACATGTAGTTACAGATAAAACTTTTTTTTTTTGGCCCATTTGTACAAGCTGGGACTCAGCATTGCGCACTTGTAGGTTTTCATGTGTAGGATCGAGGAAGACACGTATGCGAACTATGCGCTTTCCACTTCGTGGCTGCAGGATACATAAGAATACATGTTTTTTCTGGAAGTCAATAGTACATGCGTGCACATTGCAATATGTTTTGTACGTACGATTCTTTTGTACTCTTTGTATACTTTGTGGCTGCACAAAATTCATGTTGGAAAACAAACATGTCAGGTTTTATACTAATCTCTGGGGTTTGTCTCAATTGTCTCATAAATGGCGGTGCAAAACGACTTTTGATTGGATGCTGATCGCAGTCGGACTCGCGCTTGATCCAAGGCATCCTCAGGTGAAAATTTTGCCAAGCGGTTCGGTGCATGCTGTGCTGCAGCGCAGCGCGCGAGGAGAATTTTTTTCGCGCAGTAGCCTAACTTGCCTTTCATTTGACCATGAAGGGTTTGATCGTAGTGCACATGCGTTGTAATGGAATTTGGCCAGATCTCAAATAACAAAATGCTGCTATCCCTCCAAAAGACGCTGGTGGAAAATTGCCCCTTTGGTCACGTGCACTCCGTCTTTGGAAAGGTTCCTCCTCAGATATGCAACGAAAGCCCTTTTTGTAGTTGAGTCTATTTCGCAAAAATAACCCAAAACACAATTCGTTCGAAATTTTTGTTAATTTTATATTCTGTAGTGAAGTAGGAAAGTCCTATTTGAGCATTCTGGTTTTTCTATTAGCACATATCTTACAATCGTTTTGTTGAGTCAATCGTGTTCTGAACACAACCACTTCTGGTCAGCAAAACACGGTCAGAAACTGTCACACCTCCAGCGGTAACTTTAAATGGAATGTACTCTGAAACAAACTCTGGGGAAACAGTTTAGAGTTTGCTCGTGGATGGGGAGAGATAGGAGATTTACAATTTTATACACAGAAATACTATATAGGCCTACATATACGTGACACGTTCGTACAGAGCCTTTCAATGTCTCAGTGTGCATTGTACATGCACATGTGTGTACATGTCCGAACCCCAACCAATCCGAAGTTTGGCAAAAAATTTCTTAGCCCTGTTTGAACGGAACCGAACCTTGACACATACTTGCAGCAATATTTGATGCGGAGTTTGGACTTTTTTATTACCGTCAAAGAATATGGTACGCGTGACTGAAGTTCAAAATAAATTCATATTGTGTCTCTGTGGATATTTCTTTTCAGAGGCGATAGATCAGGCAGTAAATGAGTCAACCGTGTTTGGCATTCCCCGTCACTCCCGTATAAATGTATTTATTTTCCAGTCTAAAAAATGCTTAAAGACGAACAATGATCTTGTTTCTATGTCTTTTTGTCATGAAAAACCCACTCAAATGTTTCTGAAGCTAGAGAAATGTCTGTAGCCTAGTATGTAGTTGATTTTGCGTCTCTATCATAAGGTGTTAACCACTAATCCTTACGGCCAGCCTAGGAAGACTGACCGGGCCACTGAAGTTCTCCTTGGATGGGATCTATTGTTCACAACTATGGCTGTAACCTCTTAAATTACACAAGAAACGCAAGTGTGAACACACTGATGAAAAACTTGGCCCGTGGAAACAGCTCTCTCCAGAACTTGAACGTGAACTGTTTATTTGCTACCCTTAATGATGGCAGCCCATTCCAAGTCCCAAGTCAGCGGTTCGCTACAATGGATAAAGAAAATAGAAGTACACCTTATGTAGCAATACATGTCCATAAACCTTAGTCAAAATCCATTATGATGAAATAAAGAAACAGTTGATTGATCCCTATGAATAAATTTACCCTTACTATGTGCCCCCATAAACTGTCTTACTGTGTAAATGCCAAATGACCATGTGACTTATGATATAAGTATATGTACATGTAAATCCAAGCAGTAGGGTAATACATGAACCCAGTAATAACGGCCCTTCATAATTTACTAGCGTTACAACGTCCCATTATTCCTCCCAAATTAACCCTTGTTCCCCAGATGACCCTTAGGCTTAATCTAATATCTCTTTCTGACACATAATATGGGAGAATTCCTTTGTCTTACCAACTGTTGGATTCCTGGGGGTTTACTTAATGAAAGGAAAGATGTCGCTCATGTACGTAGTGGATCATCGAGTGGAAGAAGCGAATGGTGCATTTCACTAATCACCCGAAAGAGGGCGCTATAACAGTTTTACGCCGCTACAATGGCTGTGTAAGCCACAAATTCCATTGTTGTCAGGGTTGCTCGTGAAGCTAGACAGTTCAGGGCAGACGGTTCTTTTCAAACCGTTGAACTGTCCCACACCAAAACACGAACGGAATGAAGGGGGATTAACACCAACCGTTGAACTGTTTCTAAACCGTCTGTATTTTGACCTCACGCGCCTAACAACTGAAGTCTGTCCAAATAGATTTTGGTTCCAAATGCCACTACGACGAACACCTCTGTCCCAAACATGCAGGCAAACCAAACTTCTTCCTTGGCTCCTGAAGTTCCTTTGCAATTCTCCCTAACATGACAAATTTACTTTATATGGAAGAAACATTTAGCACTGTTGATAATAACTCACAGCTGTGGAAAATCACAAGTACAATGAAATAATGGCCAACATGGGGCACAGTCTCTATCATTTGTGACTTGCCATGGCATAATGAGGAAAGATCCTCATTTATGACTTTTTGAGATATACATATGAGAATAAAGAGAAATGAACTGGCTTTCCAGTGATACCTTATTTATACTCATAGGCAACTCCGCTCCAAAAAGATGACGGGAAACATCGCTGAGATCAAAACTACTTCTGAGAAAAATGGCCTCGAAAAAAGAGCATGCGCCAGTGCTGCAAACGTTAGCCACGAGCATGTTGTGTGAGCTCCATAATCTTTTTGATCTACATGTACATGACCACAGCAACATTATATTTATGGGCAGCTACTGCCAGGACATAAAGTAAACTGAAAGAATGTCTTCAAACATTGTTTCCTGAAAGTTTATTATATTTTTTGGAAAAGGAATCCGTGGCAGTGGAGTTTCGTGATCATGAATTTTTATTGACATTGGACGGGCCAATGTTGACACTGCCTCCCAACTTCGTTTCTGGATTTCCAAAGATTCCTTTTTGATAATAAAATTTGTAAGTACCTCTTAAGATAAGTAAATATAAGCTTATTCAGTCAAAAATCATCCTTTCTAAATTGACAAGTAAGACTCATATTCTTTGCTTACCGAAAATTCTTGCACGTTAGAAAGCTGTCGTCCAGCCAACATGTTCTTTGTGGCAAGTGCCACAGTAAAACCTTTCTCTCTTTTTGTGATAATAATAATGTTTTGTATTTTACATGTCTGATTGTGTTAAAACCTTGCAAAGGGATGCAGGCCCGTTTGGGTGGAAATGTACCGCCGAAGGAATTGATTGCTGAACCTTCTAAATAAGTCACCAACATGATTGCGACTGGACACCTAGTTTCGAAACATACAAGGCAATTCTGGTTTATTGTACAACAAAAACAAAGGCAGTAAAATGATAATGAATGTGGACTCAAGTGGGACCCTTTAATGACTTATTAAATTCGTCGTATGGTTGAGTAGCACAAGTGCAATGTTGACCAATGTGTGGTTGACTAACTTTTGTATAATGCTGACCACCTTACTGCATGTACTGGTTTACTACGATGCTAATGTACAACGCGCAGTGGAGCCTATTTAAATGCATGTGTGGTTTACTTGAGTGCGTGTGTGGTTTACTACAGCTGCGGGTGGTCGGTCCCAGTTCACCATTATTCACCTGAGCCGTGAACACCAACGCCGCTCTTGACTCTCAGTATACGCTCACCAACTTTTGATTGACGCAACGCACCTGTGAAGCCTCTACTTCACGTGCGAAATATCTCGTTCCACGCATCAACCATACACAACCTGCACTCAGTAAGATCAAAGACTGCTTACCTTATGGCTTCTCTTCACTGCACTGCCTGCGCACATACTCCCTCGTGTACACGGCACGGCTGGACAGCATGCAGCCAATCACAATGCTGCACACACTGTCCACATGACTCTCCCCGTGACATTACTCACTGGGGGACTCCCCTAAATCGACCAATCCTTTAAATTAAACTAAGTCGCACTTTCGCTACATTATTCAAATTAGAAAAGGATTGTGAAAAAGCCCTCTGTTCTGTTTGCAAACAGAGATGACCTCTAGTGTTAGTTCTTCATGTTTTTTTTTTTTTACTTTTTGCCTATAGGCATAACACAGGGGTCATTCTACACACAACTTTTGACCCTTCTGTTTTGTCACTTCCCTGCAAACCTTGCACATATTTATTCATCCAAAGATGTGTGCCGAATCATGACGTCATAATGATGTCATCACCTGATTTATTATGGAATTTTGAATATTTAATTTTTCCCTATTTGTGTTGTACATGTTTTTGAAAGCTCTTTTGGGCCACTGGGTCAATCAGTTATTTTAATGAAAGTCTATGTCAAAAATGTTCTACAGAAATTACATCATGGTGACGTCATCAGGTGTCAGATTACAAGCGCTTACTAATTTAATTTTGTCTATTTTTCAAAATTCCACATTAAATCAACCATAACATTGCATATATTGCTGTTTGCACTAAGTGATGGAGTAATAGTTGGTTTCTATTTCTTTTCATGTACGCAGAATTGCTTGACCCTTACTTCCAGTCTGATCATTTAAATTTGATAATAGATATGAACCTACATGTACTTTCAACGGTGTTAGTCTCCAGTAGTATTCCTCTAAACATGCACCTGTCTTTTTTACAGGAAGTGTTGACCCAAAATCCTTATTCCAAAACATTTTGTAGAGCAGGTCACCTCACATTTGAATTGCCTGGAGAAATGGGGATTTTGTCCCCATTTTAAGATGTATTGTTGTTTACTGCTTAAACATAAAAGTAGAAAAGCAAAACTTCACCATTTTTATTAATATTACACATGAAAAGAAGACAAAGGTCAAATGTAATAAAAACCATACATGAACATAAATTTACATTGAATATAGGTCCTGGAGAAAACTTCAATTATTAATGCTTTAATGTGGCTGTTTTCAGCCTTTTTGTCTTTTTCTGGAGTACATTCAAATTGCATTGAAATGTATCTTGTTAATTTCTTACTGCAGCTCCTGCTCATGTGCCCATTCTAGAAGTTAACAAGACATTAATCACAGCTTCAACATTGACTATTACCATCCCACCACTAGATTCAAGGGGTGGTCCCATACAGTGAGTGAATACAGTGAATGTTTGGTATAAAAAGCAATAAAAACTAGTGGATTATTCTTCAAATGCATGCATTAGCTCAGCAATTACCTTATGTTCAATAGAGATAGCTAACTTTTTGTGCTTGTTTTTCTGATTTCTTTTGTTGTACATTTTAGTTTTAGTCAAAGTGACCTGTATAAGATAGACTTGTGACAAAAGCCGTGCTTGCTTTGGACTTTTTTGGTCAAACTTACCAAGATGATGGCTAGTTTTTCCCTTTTTAAGTCCAGTGCAGACATCCCAGGACATTTTCCTCTTAGTTACTTTTTTGAGCCATGCAGTCATTTTTTACCGGCCAATTTCTGCCCAGGAAAACTTTCCAAGACACTTTTTCCAAAATGGAAAGTCCAGTGCTGACAGCGCAAGTCGCTAAAAGCATGGCAAAGTGGCCCATTAGAGCGTACATTTGGCCTGAGCAAAGTGGTATGCCTCATACAGGGAAACTACTTGTACCCATGCGCACAGCACTTTTTGCCGTGGTGTAGCTTGTGGGAAATATTTCAGTAAGTTTTATTCTCTTTTGTTTGCAATCATGGCCGCAATTATTATTGACACTGTTGGGAGACTAAATGGTGTTGAGAGTGTACCATTTCCAGATGATAATGAGGATGGTAACATTATGTTTAAGAACGAAATGAAATGCAGAAAGGTCACACAACGTGCCCTCATAAGTCACTGCATTGCCAGCTCGGTTACTTCTGCCACAGTCTGGGTAAAAAAATTTTTTGTGAAAAAAGCCCAAGTGTGAGCAGTGGTCACATGTGACCATTGTTTATTTGACTATATGTATCTCTCAGTAAAACCCACAGAAAAAGTCCATTGCAAACACGGATATGGTCACATTTTGTAGAAATCAAAATGGGAACAATTTTGCACAAGATTGTGAAGCAGCACTTCAAAAAGAATTATCAAGACTTCACAAGAAAATTTAGGCTGTCTTCCTCTGCTCACAAAAGAAAGCTTTTCTACCCACATTTCATCAACAAAACACACAATTTGATCGGTCTTGCAGACACACACATCGCAAGGCTTCATTTTGTTTGGAGACATGCTGTGTGCTTTGTGGTTGATCTTGTTTGAACCACTTCCTGCCGGGCGACCCATTTTCGAGCACATAGGCTTTATATGTAGAGCCAGGGAGCCCGGAACTGGGACAAAAGAGTTGGGCCTTATAACAAAAGACTGTGCTCAGCACAAAAGACTGAGCTGCTGGGCATTACTGACATTTTTTCGCTCTCAATAGTGGAGAAAAATCCAGCCTTGTTTTGAAACAGTATACAAGGTTTGAGGCATTTAGAGCGAGCAGATTACCACCAGGGACAAAAGCTCTCCACCACCGCAGGGATGAGCCACACAACATTGCTGCACGCTAATCTGGCCCCTATTGAAAAGAGGTCAGCAGTGCACTGTGCCAGTTTCGGGAACAAACGAGTCTTGCCTGTCAGCTTTAGAATAGTGCCCAAGGAGTTCTTCTTTTTGGTATTAACGGCCATTAAATGAAATGATGAATTTTTGAAGAATTTTGAAAACGGGAAATCTTGAAAATGAGCCGGCATCTTGTCTTGCTCAAGAAAAATCCACCCGGCAGCAAGTGGTTAAGCTTTTTAAATTAGATTTTCATAGGTGGCATTACTATCTTGTTTATTTTTAGCCAAAAAGTTCTTTTTTAATTCAGTTCAGGAACATGTAGGGCCCTTTCTGACATTAGCATGGATGACTTGTAAGTTTCTGTCTATTTGTATTAGCATGGATGACTTGTAAGTTTCTGTTTGTTTGTTGCAATTCACAGCTATGTTCTGATTGTGGTTGTTCCTCTCGATGGTCCTAGTCTTCCAAAAAGTCTTCCCAGCGAGTATTCAATGGAGGACCTTTTATCTGCCACCAATTCTTACAATCAGAGAGATAAGTCAGTACGCAGACGTCGGACCACCACTAAGTTACTTCCTTACATCACGGCTAAACTCTTGGCACATGAGCTGTCTGAGCCCTTCACCATTGGGGATGAGCAATTCATCAATGGATTTCATAACAGGCCATTAGAAGCGAATCGCTACTACACGTTCTTCATGAGAGCGGGAGTTTTATCTGAAGAAGAGGTAGGTTATTGTAATTGATTTTTTTTGTTTCTAGTGTTTTTAAGTGTTGGTTTTTATTGTATTTATTCTGATACTTCTATCTGTTGGAATTGATTCAGTATGATTAGTGATCATAATTATGCTTAAAAAGAATAAGCCTGCCATTTTAAAGAACGAAAAAAATATTTACATGTTGCTAGTTGGCAAACTTTTCATGAAAAACCTTACCCATATTCTATACGATCTCTACTAGTACTTACATGTACATGCGTAATGAAATACGTCCCTTCTATAAAACCAGTGTAACAGATTTTTTAACCTATTCTCGGTTACATTTTAGAATTTCTGAAAATATTGAAGAAATTTTTAGCCAAAAATCAGCGTGTCACATCGATGAATTCGTATCAGAAGTCGTGGTAAACTGCTACATTGACGTAATTACCACTTCAATTGGTTGTCAGTCTCTGTAAACTGTATAACAAATTCTGCAATTGGATGAAATTTCCTTGTGATTTCTGAGACGTCCCCAAAGCAGAGGTGAAAGAAAATCCCAATAACACTTCACAGACCTTTGTAAAAAGTATGATCATTGCAGTGGCAGTGGTAGAAAAACAAAACAAAACTAAGGACCTGGAGGAGATGAGGCATTTCCACTGTCACCAGTGGAAACACTGGCAGTGTATAAGAAGAGTTTTTGTTTCAGTTTCTCTCAAGTTTTTTCTTTTTGAAGTTTTGCATAAAGGATTGGAACATGATGTCATCATGATAATATTGGATATCGGGATATTTTTTCGTGATATCGCGATATATAAAAAGAAATGAATATCGAACAGGCTTACTGAGCATGGACAGCAACAACTTTTTGCTCAGCTGATAAAACTCATTTTCGATAGTCTATGCTGTAGGGCTGTCTAGGATTGTCTGGTTGTATCTCAGCTCTGGCCCAGACACTTTGGAGGGTGTGAACAAAAAATCAAATTTTTAAAAATGTATACAAGAGATAAAGGGCTGATCCAAACATCAACTTATTGTTTGGTGTGATATTATTTTCTTTAATTTAGAAAATATTTCAGATCTTAAATTCTAAAATTTAGCTGTTTTGTGAGAAGAGCCGCAGTGGAGACAAGCAGTGTGGAAGCTGCCAGTGTTTGTTGTTTGGCGCAGCCATCAATCATAAATGAGGCAATCCTCTAAAAGCTTGGTTAAACAAACCTAGAGTTGCTACCAGAATTTTTCACTGTCACAATAGCTAGCAACCTGGTAATAGTTGTCATCTCAATCACAAAGCCCATTTGGCAAACTCAGCCATCACAGCAACAAGTACAATACCTGGTTTAATAATCCAGGTTTTTCTATTGTGACTTTACAGGTTAATATGGCCAGCCGTTAAATAAAAAATAATCTTGGTGATGAGAACCTCAAAATAAAGCAAGGTTTTAACTTTACATAGGCTCACAATATCATTACAATATGAACATTCCCCATGTGAAATTACCTAATCAGAAACAGTTTTTGATTGCGATGTTACTTTACAGGTCAACAAAATGGTAAGACATTAACCACTTAGCACCAGTTGACCCCGTATGGCCAACATTCGTCTGATCCTTAGGTGACCTTAGGTGGGGACAGGACTGACTGCAATGAGTCAAGTAGGCTGTAATCCCCCTATTGTGAAGTACAATGGCATGAAATACCACAGCACTTTGGGCCAGCCTGGCTGAAAAATGAGTTGCCCAGCCCTCCCATTGGTTTGTAGTTATTTGCAGAGCTGAGGGCGAACAATGAAGCCGTTATGTCACACTGTAGTTAACATAACATGAAAGTGCCTGGCCACGCTTCATTGCCTTCCCCCTCTTATTACATGACATGCATTTCTTGGGTGATATTTTTTTCCTATAAAAGTATGGTCAAAGCACTCCCCCACCCGAAAAGAAAATGAGATTCTATGATCCACAGAAGGTTCTTGCTAGTTGTAAAAAGTTATTAGGCCAAGCTGTCAGACGCAATGGCTAAAACAGCTGATGGTACAGTGTAAGTGAAACAAATTTCATTACAGAGTGAGTACATAACAGCAGATTTGAAAGTATTCAGAATGTTTAAGCACCTCACTTTTTACAGAAATGACTTAATCATTGAAAATGTATTCAATAAATCCATGAAGTACAGTTGAACCTTGTTTATAAGAGCACTGTTAATACAAGAGTCCTGTTATAATCTGATAACTGTACATAAGTTCATTAGAATGAAGTGGTTCATAGTTGTTTCTTTTTCTGATTGAGTGTAAGCATTGTGTGAACAACAGTACATGTAGTAAGGCTTCTTGGTTTAATATGTCGCCATGCACTGGGTTTCTGGTTAATGCCCCTTCGTTGATGTGGTACTCGAAAAAAATATGTCAGGGTTGGCAGGTCTGCAATCTTTATCCCAGCAGATAGGATAACTACATTATGTGCAGCATTGTGCCATCAACAATTGCCCAAGGGGAGAGACCAAGAAAGTGTACAGAGCTAGTGGACTCGGTGATAGTATATTATCATCTGAGTGGGATGGCTCATATGGCCCTTTATAGTGACTCCGATCACCATCCAACCCAAACTCCCATTTTTTTTGGCGGGGGGAGCACATTTACTGGATGAAATTAACAATTACTCATTGACTCACCTATTCTTACAAAAGTTTAACATAAGTAGCACTCTCAGGTTTTAGGCATTTTGGAACCTCTTACTTAACCTTAAGTTGACACTAAGCACCGTCGATACATCGATATTATCAATTTGGGTTTGATATTGAAATCGCTGATGTTAGTTATTTGGTAATATCGATATATCAAAAATATTTGATTTTGGAGAAATACATGTATAAAAAGTATAAAAACTTCGAAAACATTAATGTTGAAAAATATATCAAAAATGACACTATTGAGGAACAAACTTTATTAAAAAATATGATAATGCATCATCACAGTACCGTAATTTTTTATAAGGCACGGCTTACGTTGGTTCTCATTCTGAGTGAAAAATGTCCCTGAGGCTTATATTCCAGGTGGCTTATACGGCAACATTTGAAGAATAAATTTAGTCACCTACCTGGTTTCTCAGTCTCGCACTCAATATTTCGCGTACACTTTGCCTTGGAAATGTCACAAAATTTGTCCCAAACAGAGAATTATTTGCTAACCAAACATACGTAGACTAGCACCACATGCTGATGATAGCCCTGTGCACAGCAGTGTGTATCCCATCCCATGAAGGCAATATGTGCATTACGGACGCTAGAACAAGTCGCAAAAGTGAATTGGATCACACCATTGCGGTATAAGGGGGTACCCTTAGAACAATTTAAACAATGCAAAAAATCATTGTTCGCCACATGTACACGTAACTGTGTACGTTTTACCACTTTTTATAAGCTTTTGTGAAGAGTAAAACAAATCAAAGGTAAAATTGCTGAATGCTTTTCTTGGCCACGAAAACGGACACTTTTATTTTCATGTTTCTGGTTGCATCACAGCAACTGCGAAGCAATATAGCTGAAAATGCATCGCGAATTGCGATGCGGTACCAGAAATATAATTTCCTGCCTTGAATATGAAATGAATAAATGTGATATATCAATATAAAACCCAATATATTGGTATCAGCCAAAATACGATATTGACTAGGTGACACTAATGAAGTGTTCCAACTGTGAGTTTATTTAATTGAAGGACCATGCAGGGTTATATTGACGTTATATGATCGTTTTCAACCGTGTTGTATACAATAAGTTGGATTAACCCCACTTTTGTGTCATTAAATCAAAATTGGCATTTTCTGTGTACTTTTTTCAGTCTCTGCCCAGGCTCTAAACAAAAATATATCAAAATCGGTCAATGAGGGCAACAGACAAATCTTGGCAAATATGTGATGTCATAGGACGGACTTGACTTACCAGACCAGAAAGCATAGTTCCGGTAAGAAAGTTGATCGGTCCGCTTAAGAATAATAAGTTCTCAGTTCTGGAGCATAGTCAGGTATATAACTCGTACATGTCAAGTCAACTACATTTGGTCTTGTTTCCTAACACAGGGTAGAGCTATTGGACAACTAACTTGATGCCTCACGTTCATTTTGTTTGCATCGCGTTGTACACGTGTAATAATATCGTGACTTGCGAATTGCAAAAGAATGCCAAGAAACTGTGTTGTCGGTGGCTGTCGTCGGAATCAAAACAATTCCCCATAGAGCAGTTTTAAAGATTCCCAAGCTACTTTTGCTACCAGTGTTTGTGGGTTAGATTTGTTGACAACACACGATCAGCTTTCCCAGTAGGATCTATAGAAAAATCTCAACCCAACGTTTCGTGTCACCTGGTTTTGCCGATGATAATAAGCGCATGTTTCACTTTAAAACAGGATTTATCAAACGTCAGCGAATACAGCTATGGAAGAGCCAATGGTGAGACAATTATGTCTTTCAGAATATTTTATAATGGTGCAGGAGAAAATTATTACCAGTTAGTGTTTTGTTGTCCTCTGGGTTGCTACAATGCCATGGCATCGAGTTGCAAAATGTCTTCCTGAGTGTACTCTGGTTTGAACTGATAAGGCAATATTTCTTGTGGCTTATCAGCTCCTTCAATGTCCCTTTCTTTGTCAAATGAACAAGACGAACATGACAACTGATTGGAAAAAGGATTGACGCTAGAATTATCATCACTTGAGTCTGACATGATGGCACAGGCTAACTCTACTGGATTACATGTGCATACATGTTTACACATTGTTGTGTAACAATAAACAGTTGCTGGAAAAAGGACTCCATCCTATGATGTCAAGATTCTTGGGAATTTCGTCAGAAACTTTCGGTACCTGATGGCTGTTTAGCTTTTGCTCCAAGAAGGGAGTGAAATAGGGTTGTGAAACTAATTTTTAACATTCCGTGCATTTTGAAATTATGCATATGTGTTTTCTTGTTATATGTATGTTTGTTTCATTTGTTGATGCATGTTTTACTAGAAATCTTCCCAGCATGGCCCCATGC